ACAGGCTGAGCGTGTTAAAACACTGCTTATCTGACAGATCTTCAGTCAAAGCACCTTCTCAGCCACTTGGCCCTGCAGAGTAAGCAAGCCCAGGATGCAGTCTCTGGGCTTTTGCCAGCACAGAGCAGTGCCTACACCCAAGGGCCAGTTACCAGTGCTGTCCCCTTTGTAGAACAGGTCTGGAATGGCTCACAGCTGCTTCTGAAGTGGTCAGGATAGACCAAAAAGCTGCTCTTCTCTGCCTAGACTAAGTCAGATCAGTGCCTGATACTGTAACATGAACCACAAAGTGCTGTGCGGAAGCACTGGAAAACCATAGTCATTCCTGGTTCCCAAAAAATGTTGAGGTTGTATTAAGGAAAACCTGCACCTGATTCCAGAAATTGGAGCAACATAGGTATGTTCCAGCCAGCCCCATCTTCTTTGGCACTTGGAAACTAGACTGTGCATCTTGCTGCACTGAGCTCCAACTTCCTCAGACTCAGTTTGGAGAGCAAATGTGTTTATGCTCATGTCAGTGTCCCAGGGTTTTCCAACTATGGAAAAAACCTTAGATAGGAAGGGGGAAAAGCTGTGTTTCCCTCCAGGACAGCATGTCTGCCATACATTGATAAATTGTCCTGAGGACCACAACACATGCATTGCAGCAGTACGGGTGGAGACTTCAGGTCAGTCTTTATCACCTAGGAAAGGGCTGTTCAGACTTTGTCCCTCCCAGCCTACTTAAAAGTTGAATGGTGATCAGTTTATCGTGACTCTATTTACCTCCAAAAAAACTCCCAGACTTTCTCAGTTGTGTCTAAGAATTACAGACTTCACTTGACTTCTATTTGAGGCATTTAAGTGCTGTTCTTGGTGCATGCGCTCAGCTGTCACTAGAATCCAGATGCTCCCACTTAGTTGCTCTGTCTGGCACTTCAGCCTACTCAAAACAACTGAAAACGATGGCCTGGAGCACTGAAGATTGAATCACCTGCATAAACCAGATCTGTACGAGGAGGGGGGAAGTCCTATTACAAGAACACGCAACCTGTCAGGCTGTTTACCCAGGAATGTATATAAGGTAGGTTAGGCTTCTTTTAAATACCCTCAGAGAGGGCAAGTCATGCATTTTCCAACTGCTCTAATTGCAGACACAGTAACACTTCCTGCTGTACTTCAGGGAGGGCCAGGTTCTTAATGTTCCCAGGCTAATTAAAGGCTGAGAAAGACAAGTTGTTTATCAGCATTTATACTGCCTGAACATACAACTTGGGAAATACAATGATGAAAACTCAGAGCAAGAATTTTTAGGATCTCAGTGGAGCAGTTGCACAAGCTCCTCTTTCCCACAAAGACACAGGAGTTAAACAAATTCCACCAAGCTGAGGCACCTGTATCACAGTGGTCTTTAAGTCTTTCAAACAGCTGAGAGGAAACAGACATTTCAGGAGGGGAATGCTGAGTAGCCCTGCTCTGTCCTGAGCCTCACACATTTATCTTGCAAATACACTTGACAAATGGAAGGGAACAGTCTCATGGCTCTTCAATTGGACACAGTGCTCTGTGCAGCTGTCCTTTGCCACCTGCCCACAGCCTCCCCTAGCCTCACCTGATGCAGGAGAAACCCACACCATCCAACTTTCACACCTTTGGAGAGTTAAATATTTGGAAAAAAGCAAGAAGGGAGCCAAAGCAGTGTGTGGCTTTTAATCCCCAAATATGCAGGCAACAGGACGTTAAAACAGAAAAATCAGTACTTGATGGCTGTTTCTTTCCTTTGTAACAAACATTGAAGCCTCAAGTCACATGTTTGCTGTGCTGTATATGGTTTCTCCAGATCAAATACTTAATTCAGTACGTGGCACTTCAGACCTTAAGATGTATAAATAAGAAATACCTGACTAAAATGATGTAGGAAGTACTGTGTAATTTCATTTTCTTCAGCAAGGAAGGCAGGAAGGTTGGACAGCTAAAAACCAAACTAAACAAAACTGTCATAATCACATTTTAGTTTGCCTCTCTTCAGAGGCTGGACTTTGTAGTCAGAGTCCTGGCTACCTGGGAAGAGCTTAACATGGCTAAATTCTGAACAAGCACCAAAAACAAGCCGAGATGTTAAAACTGTGAAAAAGCACCTGATGCTTTTCCTCCTTTAATGAAATCTGGTGCTAGCCATCTCAGGACACCAGGCTTTCTGTTTAAGGATTATTTAGCTACATAGTATAAATTTTACATTTGGCTCCTTTCATATAATTTGTTTTACTTTTTGTTGTAAATATTCCAAACTCACCCTTGGAAACCTTAGCTGAAATACACAGATGAGATTTCAATTGCAGATCCATACATAATTTTAAAATGTTAAGTTTCTACAGCTGCCTGCATAGTAGTAACACATTCCACACATGCTCCTGGAAACCTCTGTCTCCTGTGTTAACTGAAAGCAAGCAGGACCAAAAAAAACCAACAAAAAAACACCCCATAAACATTTGTATCGTTGTACTAGCTCTGAAATATTAACAATATAAAGCCTCACATCTGAACTGGTACCTGCATTCTCCAGTAGCCACACCTTTCAACAAAACTGCCAGAAATCTGACCTGAAAGCAAGTTAACTGTTGTCTGAAGAGTTCACCATTTTTCTCTACTGTTACAGATGCCCTTTTTGACACCTCTACATTACTGCACATGCCAAACATTCATCCCTGTATTTTTCATCTCTGGGAACTGCTTCCACTACAAAGGTCATGAGCACAACAAGAGCATGAACTCTTAATACTTTACCACCTTCAATATTTTCCTCCCACTGTGGAATCAAAGAGGCAAATCACTCCCAATTCCCAACTTGGGAATGGAGAGCACTTTCATAAAGCAGTTTCTAACCAGAATCTCCTAAATGATCTTGTTTTTCAAGAGTACACATGCAGATCTCAAGCATCAGCACACAAGATTGCTTGAATCTCCTCTTTCAACCTTGAAAAATGCTGAATACTCTTATGGTTATATGCTTTCACATCTAGACACAAAATTCAACAGTCAGGACGTACGTGCTGCTTTTTAAGTATAGAGTAGCTGAAAAATGATTGAAAAGAATTTACACATCACTACCTTAAAAACAGGTTAATCAAGATCCTTGGTTTTACTCTGTTCAGTTGCAGTTAACTGTCCTCAGCTTGCTTTGCTTTGGGGGAGAGTGTGGTTGTATTCAAATTGCAAAAATACTCTAGAAGTGGCCACCACAAAATATAGTGCAGATAATTCAGTACTGAATCTTGCTCATTTCTACTTGACTTCAAATCCTTGGAAGTCTCTCCAAAGCAGGTCTGTTTGCAAGCACCAGCCTGCTCCTCACAGCACCTCAAATTTCTTAATTTTTTCAACAGTAATCAAGCAGCCAATCATTTACCTGCTAAAAAGTAAGTCACCTGTTAGAACAAGCCTGTTGTGTGAAATTTATCACATCAGGTATGGGCCCTGAGATTAGGAAAAGGAGCCAGTTTAAAGCCCAAGACAGAGTAAGCAGCAGGTTAAAAACCAAAACATTTCAAAGAATGCAACCTCATTTTTAAAACAGGCACAAATTAAGCCTACCACAGCTGTGATACATAAGCACCCATGGTGGCATTATATTTAATCTGCCAGAAGACTGCTTATTATGCATTAATTTGGAGCAGCACAGGAGTGGTTAGGTGCAAACATGATGTCACGTCTTATTTATAGTAACCCTTAGTATTGCAAAGGAAAAGATGAGACACAGACAATCACAATGGCTGGAATCTTAATTCTACTCCTATCTGAAATTATCAGTTAGGCACACAGATTTCTATCAAGTCAGAACAAGGATCTTCAAGAATGTAGGAGGTAAGAGATTATCAGGACGGTGGAATTCCGGTAGTGATCCACCCAAAAGCAGTGTTTTTCCTACCTTGGGGAAGTTAATAAAAAGTCAAAAAATGAGTAGGAAAGAGAGGGACTAAGAACCCTGAGGCAGACAACAAAAATTACAGGTCTTGATAGTATTGTTTTTATCTTCAGTAACAGAAGACCCAAGAGGGGAGTCTAGTAGATTTCCCATTGGTGAGATTCTGAAAGCACAGTAAAAAGAATCCAAGTATTTGGGTAAGACAGGTTTCAGGAAAGTGAGCAGAAAATACTCTGATACTGTGGTAAGATACCCAATTCTGAACGTGTAATTCTTCTTAATGAATAAAGTTCATAAAAAACAAGAGCTCATCACATGGCTTCTCTGAAATCTTAACTGTCAGCATGAGCCAACTAATGTGTTTACCTACCAGCTGAAGTTTCAATTTCAGTTCAACTAAAACTCTGCTGTTAATTTGAAATGGTACAAGGATCTAGAATGCAACAGAATTCTATTTAACCAGAAGCTGATATAAAGTTAGAGAAGACTACAGTTTATCATCAAAGGATTCCTTTGAGTCTGCTTTTAAATCCCCAAAGCAGGTGACCCAAGTCACTTGGTAAGCAACACTTCCAACCCACCACAGACAGATTTGGACTTGCCATGTCATACACACTGAGCCTCAGAATGGCACAGCCAGCACTGACACAGCAGGCTGGGAACAGCTGAATGCATCCAACAACAAACTCCTTGACCCTGCACACAAGGATTACACACCTTTAGCTCTTCCAACACCTACGCAGTTCCAGCCTGTGGTGCAAGCACCTGCTGTGTCTTATGAACGGATTTCCTTAGATGTGTCATTTACATCTGAAGGAAGACAAGCAAAGCTGTTTGAGTCAGCTGCAGCAAGTTAAATCAACAGTTTCTTGTCAGTTCTCTAACAAACATGCTTCCGTAACAGGAAACCATAAAACCAATCTAAGGAAGATTTCTTTGCCTCTGAAGAATTATCTGAGATCTTCATCCACCTCATCCTCCTAATCTAAAATTCTGACACACCCACTATTGCTAGTAAATACAGCTTTCATTTGAACACTCAGATTTAAGTTTATTCATACACAGCAAAAGTTCCACCTGCGTATTAAAAACAAACAAATTAGAAGTAAATGTTTTATTCTTCCAACTAAATTCCAGTACTACAAGGGCAGTAAAACAATGATACACTGAAAAATTGCAGCAATAAACATTTGTTAAAGACTGATAGAATAAATAAAAACTACAAAAATGAGAAATCATATAAACCCATTCTTAACCCCCAAAAAAGTCATGGAATACAGAAATGCCCTCCTTCACTATTTCACAGGCAGTACTGTGGGCTATTTGCTTAAAATTGTCCTGGGATTACATTCTAACTTAACTGTGATTACAGCTTTGTTGTAGTGCACAGTTATGAAAACCACACTAACTTCAGTCAGAAGTGTCATTCTACATTTTTATTTACACAACCAGTGAAGGGCAACTTCTAGAACACCAGCTTTAATCCTTTACTTTTTCAAACTTATTAACATAAGAAGCCAAATTGTAATGATACAGCAAATGAGGCCACTGGTATTATTACAGGTAGCAAAGGTCCACATCCAGGTGGTACTGACATCAGGGAGCACTCCAAAACCAGTTGCTGCATAAGAGTGGTTGCCACTGACAAAAGCTTGAAATAACCTGTGTTCACAGGGGGAAAAAATATGGCATTGCTGCAAGTCTTTACTGGGACAGCTTGCAACAATAAAACAGGGTGTAGAGGGCAGCCCACATATGCAGAAAGTGTGATTCATGAAACGTCTGGAAAGAGAAAAAAAATAACCAAGAATTAATGATGGAGGTAATAAATGCCAGTTCTACCACAAACCTAATATGGCATTATCAAAACCTACTTCAAAACTAAAAAAACCAGCACGTTATGAGGGACAGTTTTAGATGTTTCAAACAAAAGCTTCATTTTATCTTGCATTTTCTTTTCAACCTCGGTCTTCCTTATTACCAATTTGAAGTATTTTAACTTGGGGCCTGGCTGAATCATAACAACAAAAAAAGGCTGGTGCAATTATTGAAGGTTCGGTAATTTAATGCTGTTAGAGGGACCAGAAGAAACAGATACTCACAACTGGCAGGCTGTTCTCCATATCGTCGCATGATCTGATCATGCGTGAACTTCACAAATGCGTCATATTGTTCTGCAAGCATGAAGCATGAGATGTGTGAGTATATTAAGCTTAACTCAAGCTTAAAAACATTCAAGGCTACTTTTTAATACATACAAATAATAAAAATTAAACACGCACCCACTAACTGTAGTTTTAAGTGACTTTACACAGCTCACAGCTGCCACTTCCTTTTCAGCCCCAAGAACAACAATGCAGCACATGTCCCCTTAGTTAAAAGACTTTCCCTTACACACTTCTGTAATGGGAAAAACAGTAATATGCTCAAAGAGAATTATGCTGCACATACACAAAGACCTCAATATACCTAACACCTGTCTAAGCATCAGACACTGCATTTTGAGGCAATCATTTCACAGATCCATAATGGGGGCAGAGTAGTTCAGCAAACATGGCACTAAGGTCTGTGCGAGGGTTGAAAACATCTTTGCTCCTGTCACTACCAGATAAAAGAAAGTTAATTTAATGAAATGGAAACACAGAAGCACAGGGAAGGTACTCAATACAGAGTTAGAAATTTCTCTTGGTGACCACCAGAAAATAAAACGCAACTGACAAACTAAAAGGATGAAACCCCAGTGGCTAACACTTCACTAATTCCTACCACAACATCGAGTTGACTGTGGATTTCATGAAAACAGCAACTGTGCAATCTGAAATGAAATTTAGGCATCAAATGTATTAACCTGGCTTTGAACTAAGCAGGGTTATTTCCCAGAAAGACTACTTGTTCTGTACACACATACATACAAATACACTTGCGATATTTTATTCAACTTTAATACTGCACTCATCAGCAGGGTATCACCTTTCAGAATTAGGAAATTGAACAAGGAGAGTAATATCTACCAGATGCTGCTCCTCTCCATTCCCCTTCCTCCCTTGTGGAAAAATACATGTGCAGCAATGTGGGGTGTTCTGAGAAAAGGGCAAGGTCAAAGAAGGCAATCTTCAACCAAAAATGCAGTTAGATTTGTAGTGGTTCCTAGTCCCACAGGTTTGCCCCAATAAAGTCCCCATCCTCTTGCAGGGATGAGCTTCACCTTTGAAGTAAACAGGGTATCAGTGATCAGCAAGCAGTGCAGCAGCAACCCCAAGCATGGACCTGACCCAGCCATCTAAGGACATTCATCCCTGAAGGAAGAGGCCCAGAGTCATGGCATCCAGTTCCCATCTGCCCACAGATGGCTGGTGGCTTTTCAGCAGCTATGCAAGGATCTTAGCCAAACAACAAAATAACACAAAGTGCAGATTGAAGGATTTGTTTCCAAAAATAACAGAAACCAGAACTTTTCCTAAAAGTCTGTATTAAAGGTTAGAAACCAAATTGCAAGCCTTCTTCTTTAAAGGTTTAGATCAACACACACAGCTGCTTAGTAGCACCATCTTTGTTAAAATTATGGCTTTAGACATTTAAAGAATCCAGTTACTAAAAATCACCTTTCTCATGGCATTCAGGTTGAGAAAGTTAACCAATCCAAAGGTAAGAGCAACCTACAGTGAACTGTTTGAAAATTTAAGTAAACACTTGTAAAGAAACTTAAACTACTGGCATCCCAAATCATAGAATGCCAGGTTGGAAGGGACCTCAAGGATCATCTGGTTTAAATGAGATGGCCTCGCACCCTGTTAAGCTGAGTCTTAAAACTGTCCAATGTAGGGGAATCCACCACTTCTCTTGGGAGATTATTCCAATGTCTAACTGTTCTCACGGTGAAAGATTTTCTTCTGAAATCCAATCGAAATCTCCCCAGGAGTAACTTGTACCCATTGCCCCTTGTTATAAGTACCTATTTTAAGTTAAAAGGCAGGTAAATGCCACAAATACAAACATTATTACTATAATCTACACTCTGACCTTTACTATAAAAAGCTGTTTTTCACACATTCTAGAAAACCTTTCAAGCTGAAGTTTCCCTTAGCCCCTTACACTTCTCTTAGTGTCTGCAAAGGATCTTGTAAACCCAAGTCTCTGCTAACACAGCAGTTTAAAGTAGCAGAGGCAAATGGGGAAATCAGAGCACTATGCTGATCTGAGTTTTCCATTTATCACACACTCAACTCTGCATGGAAGGAAACTCTGCTCACAAAGAACATGGAAGACAAAAAAAGAAAGCAGTATCTGGCTAACTACCTACAGGAAATGTGTGCTTCAGAAAAAAAAAGAAAAACACCCGAGATCCAAATATTCCTTTAAGTCACTTCAAAGAAGCTATCCAACTGAGATTTATTTCAGAATTTCCAGTTACATCTCCATTGACTATTCACTAGTTTCTAAGAATGAGTATCATCTTACTTTACAAAGTTTAGAAAAATATAAAATCATTTTGTCAGCAGAAAAACATAACTGGCCTTCTACATAAGGAATTTCTAAAGAGACTGTTGGCAGTCTCTTTCTGAATCCTCATCTAATGCTGAAAATTTATTATTGGCTTGGAATATGGGATGCTTGGAATATGGGATAGCTCTTTTGTGATCACCACTGTAAGAATAAGCAAACCTAACTCATAACTGTACACCACAACCCTCCAAACAGAACGACCTTCACAAAACCAAAAAAAGTTCCCTTTGGAACTGACAGATGGAGCCCACGTAGGAACTTGCCAGAGGGGATTCTGCTGTAAAGAACTACAAGTTTGTAATCAGAAAGCGTCTGGAACAAATGTAAATACATCTAGTCTTCAAATGGTTATGATCACTGCTAAATTAAATCCATTTAAGAGAATGCAAGAAATTACCCGATTCCTAATGTTCATAGATTAGAAGAAGAAAAGCTCTACCGAGTCCTAATTCACCAGTCTGAAGTAGGTTAAAAAGAAAAATACAAAGATGGAACATTATGCCCAAATAAACAGACATATTTAGGGCTCTAGTCATAGTTGTAAATAGATGTAGATTTAAGAGGATCTTAGAACTATAGAAATTTCTTACTCAGGGACAGCAAATCACCAAGCACAGACCATTAACAGAGGCTCAGGTGCAGAGACAACACTGTCACAGGCAACCCCCAAGCCTGACACATCTGGTGACTTCTGGTATGGAAAGGCTATAGAAAGCTTTACTCCCAGAGATGAAAATATTTGTGAACTTTTAATTCTGATGTGTTTTCAGGGGCAAAGCAGAAACCCATGCATACTCAAAAAAGCTTTCCTGCCCAAGAGTGCATTCAGATGTTCGTTATCACACTAAATATCAAATTAGACACCAAAGCATGCTGTGAAGGCATCTACTTCTGAATGCAAGAGAATTTAGGTATTCAAATGCTGGCAAGACGCTTAGAAGTAGACAACCTCAAAAGCTAAATCAAGGTTGTGTTTACAATGCTGACATTAACATGATCCCTATGAAAAGGTAAGCTGGCATCAGGCACCAAAAGTATCAGCTGAATGATGTGGAATACCACAATTAGACACAGAGCCCCAGAAATGCAGCTAAACTACTGATCCTCAGGCAGATACTAAACACTGCTGGCAGCAGTGTAATGGTAAGTACTGGGAAGAGAAAGGGAAAACTTAGGTACTGTCTTCCTGCCAAATTCCAGAAAAAGGAAGTCAGTTCCCAAGCAGAAAAAAAAAAAAAAGCCCTTCACAAAGAGCTCTTAAGCCAGAAGAATAGAAAGTCTTTCCAGCAAAAAAAAAAAAAAAGCCCTTCACAAAGAGCTCTTAAGCCAGTAGAATAGAAAGTCTTTCCAGCAAACAAAAAAAATGAAGAGGAAATGATCAATTAAAACATGGTAACAAGAAAAAGCTCTATCTGAAATAAAACCACTGTTTCCATTGATTAGTAATACACAGGAGTCACAGTTTCTAACCAAGGCAGCATAGAAGACAAAAAAACTATCAAAGAGACTACACATAATTTTTTCTGTCCTGTATGCAAACTCATTCCTCAATTAGATTAGGTCAGAAAAAACAGCAAAACACAAACATGAGAAAAAAAAACTCATCCCAACACATTCTTTTGAACTGTAGAATACCTGCAAGTTTTGTGGTCAAAATTTCTTCATACTCTTCACGGATTTTCTCTTCACGTTCTTTCAGCAAACGTTCACAGATCATTCCAACTTGTCTAAGAGTAAACAGGGGCTGTTCTTTTTTCAATGGTGATGATGCTGCAGATGAAGTACCTACGATTAAACATTTGGGCATAAAATTTAACTTACAGGGACTTCAGAATAATTTTTATAATCTATCTTCTTCACATCTTTTACATTAAAGGAAATTTACAAAATATATGGAGCAGTCACTTCTAATTACTATTAAAGTAAAATCTGACACTTAAAAAGAAGACACCTACAATGGACCATACCCAGGGGTATCAAAACACCAAGTGTTACATGGCAGTTGCCATTTACAAATTTAAGCTTCTATTTTATGTAAAAATGACAGTACAGTGTATTTCTGCAAAAGCCTATCACAATACCAGCAGCAGGGTATGCAGGACAGTCTCATGAAAACAATGCAAGCTTTGTGTCCTACTGATTCTTAAAATGAGAAGATACAATCTCCCAGATCAATGCTAGCATTGCCAAAAAAATAACAGTAAGTGGTGGGATGGTGCCAAAAACCACCAGATAACTAGGGAAAATTATTTACACCACCAGAGTCTGAGAAGACACAGCAGAACAACATAAATTTTCTGGGTACCTGGCAAAGCTGGTCCAGCAAGGAGAAATGCATGTGGCTGTGCATCAGTAGAACAACAAGGATCTGTCTGCTGGAAGCTATTTTCTAAGTGTCTCCTCTTCTGCATGCGTTTGTACTCCTGTTTTATGTTGTACAGAATTTGTTCTAAAAGAAAGAAGTTAGAAAATTAAGCCTAAAATAATCAGTATTTCACTTAACTTTATTTCCACTCAAACACCAAACACTGCAGATAATTAACAGACAGACTGTAAAAGCTAGACTCTTAGAATTTTTAACCTAAGACATATACAATGAAACTACTTAAAAGAAAGGTTAACTCCAGACTGTTTTCATCAGGAGAACAGCAGCAAAAATAATGTTGGTTAAGGTCAGGTATTGGTGCCAGAATGCTACTAACAAAAATAAAGAGCATAAGGTTAAAACTTAGGAATTATCAACTACACAATATACACGTATAAAAACTATGCTATAAAACTTCTACTGGTATTCATTATCTTTCCTGCATACATTAAATTTACAATTACCTTTCTCCCCCAGACAGTGTTTATTGTTCATACAGTTATAGGCAACAAAAGACTCCAGAATAAAACAGGGACATGAAATACCATTCCTCTCTGTAGAGTTTTTGGCAGCCAAGTGGAAAGGAAAAAATAATTCAGACAGAATATGCATAAAGCAACTACTGTTTAAAATATCAAAGAATTAGAAGCCAACAAACTACAAAAGCCTTTAAAAATCATTGATAGCCTCAGATCTAGTCAAATAAACAGAATGGACAGATCAATACTCTCTTTTAAAGGAGTATGGCAATATGCAGTTCAGAATTTGATTGCACTGAATAAAATACAGCAAGTACTTTTAGTTCAAAAAAACCTATCAATCCTGTGTGCCTTCTCTCTGAAATTCCTTGTACCAAAGGCTCTCAGGCCATCAGTGCCCTAACTGCCTACTGTGTGGCAATATAAAATAATAATAAAAATTTAAAAAATTTTCTTTACAGGACACTTTCACAGAAAAAGATGTCCAAAGACTCTACAAACATTCTTACTTTCAAATGTTCAAATGCATTAAAAAAAATTTCCTACAGTATCAGCTTCCCGAGACTTCCAGACTTTTGGCAAAGACAGCCTCCCGAAACTCAGATACATACTAATCAGTGTGAGCATGTCAGAATTGCAAATGACTCTACTCACTCAGTACCTGCCTACTTCTGTTTGGCACTTCACCAAAACAATACAATGAAAACACCTCAACTAATTTTCAGGATTGTAAACAGTACCCTATTGAGGTTCCTTGTGTATTTTCTAGCAAGCAACCATGTGAGTAACCAGCCTCAGCTACTAGCTTATTCAGACAGTGACTGATGCCTATGCTAGACCAAGCAGAAGCAAACATTTGCCAGTTCCTAGTTCAGAAGTTTAATTATTGCAGTGGTTGTTAAGTTCTGTAAGACAGTTTGGGGGCTTCCAGCTCAGAAAAACAGGAAACTGTTTCTGGTCACCAAGAACACTATTATTTGGAGCATAGGAGCTTCTTGCTTGGATTTTGTCCAGTGATGAAAGCCTTGTAGTTTAATACCCTTTCATTTCATGCTTCAAGTGCTTGTACAATTTTCAGCTCCCTAAAGGGGGATCAATAACCTGGTTCAAAGAAGCAGCAAATGCACAAGATGTCATAAAGAAGCACAGTCGGGAAATGAAGAAAAGGAAACTACAAAAAAGTGGGGAACAAAGTACTGAAGGGTGGCTGGAGGATTCATACTTTTTGTAGAAGATTCATACTACACTCCAGCTTAGTACAGAAATACATTAACCAGATTAAACAAAGATGCAGTCAGGCTTTCAAAAATAAATAAAATCCCATGTAGAATTTGTCATATGCATATACACTGCATCTGTTGGGGAAAGGCCCTGCAGCCTTTTTACTCAATGTTAAGTGGAAAACCAATGCCCTTCCTCATAATCAAGTGGTGCTGTGGCTGAAATGATACTGCATAATTTTGAGTGGGAAACAAATAAGCTCAGAAGATAACATCAGTCCTAAAGCACGTCTACACTACAGAAACATGACTGCAAACATTCACACTGTATTTACATTAACTGAAGAGCATAAAAGATCATGTGCATCCTTCACTGCCACTACTTCATCTTGGGCATACTTTCCAATTTCCAAATTCTCTATGAGCTGCAAAACATCACCCTAATTTCAGGTGTAAAAACTTTGATAAAAATCTTCTGCACAGCTCTCCTTTCTATTACATTTTTGCAGAAATATTCTCAAACCACATTAACCACCAAAATAATTAACAAAAAACCCAACCCTAAACAGACTCCAGTCAATGGATAAAACTCCAAGAGTTAAAACATCAATCATCAGCCAGGTTTCCTTACCCTTAACAACCCCTGCAAATGAACTTGGGAAAACTTCAGAGAAAATGTTAAAATACCAGCCAGAATAGAAGGAGCAAAGGCAACATATGGACACGGATACACAGATACAACAGAGAGGGGCGGCAGAGAAATCAGGTACTGACTTTGGGAAGACAGTAACAACTGGGATAGAAAATTAAGATCTGTGCACCAAGGATACCAGTATCCATTCCAAATTGTATTATTAAATAGTGGACAAATTAGTTTCAAAGATATTCCAATAATTTCATCTGCTCCTAATCTGGCTACAATTCCTAGCTGGCCATCTTCAAATCTTGCTCTGAAAATCAAACATCTCAAGAAACACTGCTGACAGAGCCACTGGCCTGTCCCAACAGAAAAACACTTTGGCAGTTTGCATTACTACAACTTCAGGTGAAGTTATAAAACTAAGCAAAGTGGGATGGAGGATGGAACAATTCAAAATGACAATACACCATCTACACTGCAAACAGCAATCAGAAGCAAAAAGCCTGAGATTTGAAGTCCTGGCTGAACACTTGTTGACCATGTACATAACCTAGTTTGGTAAGGCACTATTTTGATTTAAAGCACTAGTGCTCAGCACAGAGAACTGGACTACAAGATCTACTCAATACCGTGCTACCAGTGAGAATGACTCACCTCATGCTTCCTGATCGCCACCATTTGTAAAATGGAGATTAACAGTCAAGAAACACAAGTTTAACATAGCATTGAACTGTTCAGTGATTTCTCATATGAATGATCAGACTAATAATGCTTCAAGTCAAGCAGGCACATTTTCATAGCCAGAAAGACCGAACAGACCTTTTTCTTAACATATGGTAGCATAAAATCTATGTCTTTAAACAAAATTACTTCACTGTGAAGTGAAATGTAAGCTTGCAAGTATTTATGACTGATTTTAAACGACCATCTCAATGCCAAATTGAAGTATTTTGTATGTTTTGGGGTTTTGTTTTAACAATCTAGGAGAGTAAGAAAAACTGTTTGAATGCATCAAGTTACTTCTGGCATTTACAGTTTTGCTTACATAAATCCACAAAAATATGTCAGATGAACAAACATATTCTGTTCAAAACCATTTCTCTAGCGTCTCAGCACTTGAAAGAAGCCATGAAATACTAAGGCAGTGCAAACCAGACAACTTTTGAACAACACCTACATTGCAGGTATCTAACTCATTGCCCTTTAAAACTCTGGCCCAGCTAAACAAAGCTTAGAGTTAGCAGATCTCACGTCCAACAGAACTCTGACTCCAGAAAACCTTCCTGCCTTCGAAAATTCAGTTTCTTAGCTTCCTTTACTTCCCATTAACTGACTATTGCAGTTGACCACTGAATTAAAAGATTTAAGTGGTGTCAAACACAGGACTGAGGTTTTTTGTGTTCCTCAATGTGGAAGCCAAAATTGTCTTTTTCAGCAACAATATGCATTTTAATTAACAAATTATTTTATAGATAAAAATTCAAATTCTGAAAGTGCACTCATGAAAGAAAACAACTCAGCTTCTCAAAGACTGTAAAACTGAAGTGAGAACTTGAATTACATATAACTCATTAGATATTTTAAATGAAGACCTGCATCGTTATAGGCGCTGAAGTTCAAATCAGACATTGTATGTCATGCTGTAATTTGAGATGACACAAGGAATATATTTAATACAATTAAATATACATCACTGTGGCCTATCTTCAGTTTCTTTTTAATTTTACTTCACCTCCTGTGCTCAGTGTTTCCTACTGGTTACAAGTACCTCTGAGGGCACAGAGCTAGCTAACTGGAAACACCAGGCAGAGATGGAGAAAGTGAAAATTAGGCCTGCTGAATCTAAGGTCATTCCTAAAAAAAGCCACACTGCTAACACACTGAAATGAACTAATACTTCATAAATGGCATTTCAAAGTCAAGATGGCCAGTATATGCCACATTCTCCAGGTTCAAGGCTAAGTCAAAGAATTACAAAGATTGCCAGTCTCACCAAGATCACTGAAGGCACAGGAGGAGATTCAGTAAAATAAACCTGAATATCATTCAATGCATATGTCTTTTTTTTTTTTTATCTAGAGCTCTGTGCACTAACAGCATAAACTTGAATACATATATTCATTAAATACTGCATTTAAATGAAGGACAGCATTCATGCCAGTAACCTTTCAGAATCTGAGATACAATTCAAAGAAACAAAATTACGCATTTCAGCTACTTTCGATACCCAATGAGGTGTGGATGAAACATAAAGGGAGCAATTCAGAATTCAAGTTTGACATCTGACTTATAATATCTCACACTAATGGATTACAAAGCCAAATATTCATTTCCAAGGAGAGATGTCTTCTTATTTCAATTCATGATAAAAATGCAAGTGATTATTTTTCAAAGTTCTGTCATCTAACTACTTCATCCTGACCTGTAATCACCTAGAAATCATGTGCAAGGGAAATAGCAGTTCAACTTGAAAAGGCAACATGACAAACAATTATTTTCTCCATTTTAATAACTGGTTATCAACTAAGATGCAGCTGATGGTTCTTTCCTGAAGGATTTTTTTTTTTTTCTTCCTTTTTAAACAAGCAATCTCTCATCTCAGATCCTGGCCTCTCTCATTTAGCTGAAAGAAACTTTGGCAAAACACGTAGGAAGCTGACTCAATAGGCTGAAATCAGAGTAGCAGTTTTCCTGGCCTGAAATGGAGCCTAAAGCTCAGGTTTCAGTTTGCAATGTCACCATTCA